CTGTAATGCCACGGCACTCTGCCCAGGGGGACAGCTTGAGGCTCTGTCTCAAAAAAAAAAAAAAAAACATTGAAAAGGTTTGAGCCAGCTGGCTCATGCCTGTAATCCTAGCACTCTGGGAGTCCAAGGTGGGTAGATCACCTGAGCCAGGAGTTTGAGACCACAAACTGAGCAACAGTGAGACCTGTACTAATCTGTACTAAAAACAGAAAAACTAGCTGAGCATAGTTGAGGCAGGTGTCTGTAGTCTCAGCCACTTGGGAGGTTCAGGCAAGAGAATCTCTTGAGCTCAAGAGATTGAGGTTGCTGTGAGCTATGATGACACCACAGCCCTCTACCCAGAGCAGCACTCTACCCACAGTGACAGAGGTAGATTACCTAATCCATACTGCTGTTACCTCCCCTTGTTTTCTGAGAGGTAGCCAGGGACAAGGTGGGAGCTATAGTCTTTTGGACCGTAAGAAGATGGAAACCTGAGGAAAAGGGTGATCTGGCAGGTTGGGCAGGAGAGACTAGGAGACAATTCCCTCTACTCACTTCTACTCGTCCCCATCCCCACCCTAGGCAGGAAACTGTGCTGAGAACTTGCTGTTGAAGGGGGCCTCTGGAGACATCTGGCTAGAAAGGAACCATTTGAGGGAGGGTTTAAAATTAGCTTGGTTGAAATGTGTGGCCCCTAGGGACAACTGAAGCAGAGGTTTGTATGGGGGTTGCTCTGGAGCTGAGTCTTTGGCCCAAACCAGGTCCTACTACCTGGGTGAAGGAAGAGGGGAGGAGGAGTGCATATCCAGGCCCACCCAGCAGGGCCCTGGCAGCTCGTGCTCTTCCAGCCCATCTTCCTGGGGGGTGTGGTGTGGGGTAGACCCTGAGTTACCCTGAGGGCTAGGTGCTCAGGTTCTGCCACACTTTCCTGGTATCCAAAAGCTCTGCCAGACTGGGTGTGTAGTAGGGAGGCCTGGGTTTTGAGTCTGCTGCCTTTAAAGAAAAAGCTATGTGACCTTGGGCAAGCCATTTGGGGATTTACTTGTACGGTTCAAGGCCCTTATATCAAAGGGCAGAGGGAGGCGCCTATCAGGACTTGGGGCTGCTTCTAGAATCCAGGAGCTGGGGTTAGCCCACCCTGGAGCCTCAGCTGTCCGGTTGCCCCTGGGACAGCCAGGAATAGGATACCACTATGTATACAGGGACACAGAGCTACTGAGGGCTGTGAGAGGTAAGGAGAGCAGAGGCTGGTAAAATGGCTTGTCTGGGACGGGAAAGGCTTGAGCAAAGAGGGAAGATGTGTCTTAAGTGGCCAGAGATTCTGTTCTGTGTGCTTGGCAAAAACCACATGAAGGAAAATGCTTGCCCTTATAGTGGCTGGGAGTGGTTCATGTGGGGGTGGGGGTGGGGGTGGTGACAGCGGTAACCAGCAGCTCTCTTGGCTGGTTTCTTTTGACCGTCTTGGTTCAGTTGAGATCTGAGTCTGTGTTGGGTAGAATTTTGCCTGACACTGCTCCAGGTTCCTGATACAAGCCATTGCCTCAAAAAGGCCATTACTTGAGTTTGTGAGGCCATTAGTTTGGGTTCTTTGGTACCCTTGGAGAAGGACGTGATCCACTGCTCTGTGTTGCCCTCGGTAGAGTGCTCTGATGTCACAGCTCACAGCAACTTCAAACTCTTGGGCTTAAGCGATTGTCTTGCCTCAGCCTCCCGAGTAGCTGGGACTATAGGCGCCTGCTACAGTGCCTGGCTATTTTTTGTTGCAGTTGCCACTGCTGTTTTAGCTGGTGGGGCTGGGTTCGAACCCACCACCCTCAGTGTATGGGGCCGTGCTCCACCTGCTGAGCCACAGGCACCATCCCACAAGATGTGTTTTTGATGCATATAAACTATGGAAAATCTCCCCTTGCCATCATAATTACTGACTGACTGATCTAGGCTCACGTCAGGTGTCAGCAGCATTTAAATAGCAGTAAGTGGCTCTGCCAACCTTCTCTCCTGGACCTCACCCACAGTTCAGAGGCCAGGTTTGGGAGGAGTCACTGGATAGACACCTGCTATTTAGACTACCTTCTAACCATGCTGAGGGCAGGGCTCATAACTTGCAGCATCATCTGTCTTACATGAAGTTTGCAAGATTTTACTTTTTTTTTTTTTTTTTTTGAGACAGAGCCTCAAGCTGTTCCCCTGGGTAGAGCGCTGTGGCATCACAGCTCACAGCAATCTCCAACTCCTGGGCTCAAGCAAGTCTCCTGCCTCTGCCTCACAAGTAGCTGGGACTACAGGCGCCTGCCACGATGCCTAGCCTTTTTTTTTTTTTCGTTGCAGCCATCATTGTTGTTTGGCGGGCCCAGGGTGGATTTGAACCTGCCACCTTAGGTGTATGTGGCTGGTGCCTTAGCCACTTGAGTCCCAGGTGCCGAGCCAAGATTTTACTTATTATTCAAAGCCAAGTAGAATTGTTTCATTTCTGACTCCTTATCCATTCCCCTATTCAGTAAATGTTTAGTGCCATCACCATGATGGGAGCTGGGTCTACAAGCAAAAATATAACATGTTCTCTGCCTTTGAAGAGAGCTCTCTCCCACCTCTCTCTGCCTTTGTTCTCTGCTCTCTATTTTCCCCCTCTTCCCCCTCGCTCTTCTCTACTCTCTCTCTCTTCTCTTCTCCACTCTCTCCTTATCTCTCTCCCCTCTTTTCTCTCCTCCTTGGTGTTGCTGTACAACCTCCCTCCCCCCCATTAATAAAGACCTTTCGTACAAGAAAAAAAAAAAAAAAGAAGATGGAGGAGAAAGTGCTAGGCCCTCTGTGGACATCACTCCAGGGCTTAGCACGGCACAGCACCCATGTTCGATTACGTCCGCCTCTCCCCAAGACCAGAGAGAGCCTCTCTACCAGAGGTCTGTGTGTATCATCTGAAAAAATGTGTATATTTGTACATGTGCGCTTTTGGGGCAGGAGTAAAGTATTATAGCTTTCTTCAGGTTCTTGGATGGGTCCTTGATCTGAAAAAGCATGCCTGATTTGTGTACTTATTAAGCAGGGTGCTTTCGTCTTGCCTGTTTTTGCCTGAGTCTGTGCCCAGAGATGTCTAGCAGATGCTTGAGCCGAATGACCCCTCTAGAAAGAACCTAGAGGAAGGGAGATCACAGAGGGTTTTGGAAAGTTCAGTGCTATGAAACTCGGGTTAATTTGCCTTGGTGTTCAAAGAAGGCCCAGGAAATACTAAATTCCAGTATTTCCTGAGCTTTAGAAGGATTCCTAGTCGCCTACTTAAAAGAAGAGCCATCGTCCCCTTCCTGTCCAGCTTGGCCCTGACCATTGTGATCTCTGTCCCCAGGTCCGGACGCTGTTTGTCAGTGGTCTCCCTGTGGACATTAAACCCAGAGAACTCTACCTGCTCTTCCGGCCATTCAAGGTGAGTCAGGACTTGGCCACCCATGGGGTAAGAGCCTAGGACTGGAGAAAAGCAACAGGAATGAATCTCTGACTGGGATTGGGCAGCAGGAAGATGCAGGAAAGCCAATCAAAAACTGCTCTCACAGGCCTGGCTCTCTGTCCCCATCTGCTGATTCACAGGCTGCCTCTGCCACTTGGTTAGCCCTTATGGGCCTGTGTCCTCATCTCTAAAGACAATAAAGAATCTTTAAATAGACATGGCCATATAAGGAAACTTTGAGATTCAGTGTAGCCTTTTCAATTTGCAGATGAGAAAACTTAAAAGGTAAGGTCTGTGCTCCGGCATTACAAGTTAGTGGAGCAAATGGGAGTTTGCACATGAAACGATGAGTGCTGCCGCGTGATGCCCAGCTGGGCGCTGGACCGTGTGCTTTAGAGCATGGGGCTCTGGAGGTCAGGCTGTGTTGACACTGCAGGGAGGAGGGTGTGAGAATAATTGAGGGAAGCATGGAGGGAAGGTAGAGCTGATGCTTCTGACTTTCCCATAATGGTCATCTCTCTCCACAGGGATATGAAGGGTCCCTGATCAAGCTCACTGCGAGACAGGTAATCGCTCTCCCTGGGGTTTCCTCTCAGCCCAGACTGATAGCTGAACTTGAAACTGCAGCCTACTAACTTTTCCCTAATCTTTTTTTTTTGAGGCAGAGTCTAAAGCTGTCACCCTGGGTAGAGTGCCATAATGTCACAACTCACAACCTCAAACTCCTGGGCTCAAGCAATTCTCCTGCCTCAGCCTCTCAAGTAGCTGGGACTATAGGCGCCCGCCACAATGCCCAGCTATTTGTTGTTGTTGTTGTTGTTGCAGTTGTCCTTGTTGTTTTAGCTGGCCCGGGCCAGGTTGGAACCCTCCAGCCTCAGTGTATGTGGCCGGTGCCCTAACCACTGCGCTACAGGCGCCACCACTTTTCCCTGATCTTCAGGCTTCTGGCAACAGAAACTTGCTCCCTGCTAGGAAGGGGTGGCCTTCACAGAACCTACTGCATCTTTACCAGCCATCTGAACCAAGTCAGCGCCTGGTCTTTCCTATTTGGCTCTTAGGAACTTGAGAACCAGGGCCCGGCCCTGTGGCTGAGGATGATAGAGGTGGTAGTTGAGCTCTAATTTCTGATAGAAGGAGGCCAGGGCCAATAGCCTTCAGGCCATCAGGACTAATCCTTGGCAGGGTGAAGTTCAAAGTTTTCAATCTGCTGCTGGGTTTTGGGGGTTTTTTTTTGAAACAAGAGTCTTACTATGTCACCCTTGGTAGAGTGC